AATGACAGTCTACACATTGTCTGATTCCACGTACGTACCTGCAGCTTTGTAATTTTGCTGTTTAGTACTATTTCGAGTAACAGATTATTTGGATACTGTTTAGGTATTATTAATTTGACCATATATATAGTCTTCTGTTATAATAATTAATATATAATGTCCCTAACTAACTTTACGTGTATGTATTAAATTAGCGTTTCTAGCTTTTTGACAATTAAAAACATTATTTTTAACGTGTTAAAATTGTCGTATAATCTAATGGGGGGGAACTGTTTGGTGATAGTTTTCCAGTTGAGTAAATTTAATTATTTTTCTGTTTATATTCGAATCGAAAGCACAATGTACTATCACGTGTGTGTAGGGTAGTTTGTGTGACAGTTTCAACATTTACTTCGTTCTCTTTCAGCATCTGTTTAATGATGTTATAAAGAAACGGAAGAAAAGGAGGCAGCGTGAAAATTCCTTAGGGAATATAATGCCAATAGTGTTTACATAGGTATATATTTACCGCAGTCCTTGTTCGCTAGCTTTTTACTACACGAATTTATGTAAATAGGTTTCGAAGTCTTTTCGCCACAAAAACCGATAACGAACCGGAAATAACTTTGCCTAAGCTTCCTGTTTCATTTTCGTTTCTAATTTTTATCTGGTTTACAACTGTTTTTATGTCTCAATTACCTGGACTTTCTTTTACACGCCGGAAGCGATAAAACAGTACAATGTAAAAATTTATTTAACTGCATACACATTTGTATACATATGTCATTAAACGTTTATCAAAACAAGAAGAAATACTTATAAATTTAACAATAGTAGAGTTTTATAAAATTTTAAATTTGTTTGGGACATTTAAATTTTAAGGTTCGTTGTAGCGGTAAAGTTTGATTTAAATAATTACGCAAGGTTTTACTCATTGATAAATAATAATGACAGATATCGTCGATAGCGAATGGATGTTTATTTTGGTCTTCTCCGCGAATAATACGCCAAGTTGTAAATGCATCAAGGGTCTTATGACTGGATCATGTATTGAATTCGAATTGTTAATTGCATACAATATTCTTGTATAGACGAACTAACTGAACTGAAAATCAACGTAAATTCTATTTCCCGATACATATGTACTGATATATATATATAGATATTTAGTTTGAACAGTGAATCGCAATAAATAAACTTTACATTTTGGTTAGTGGCGTGTTCAAAGCAAACAGCACGAACTTAAACTTAAATCTTAACATTTCTTAAAGAAATTTCGTTGCTGGTATTCAACTTAACGGGAATTTTAAATTAAGTTATGAATTTTATGCCGTCGACGTTTTTGTCCAATATTTTAATAGGTCATAAATAACTAGCTGCTACGGTTCAACCTGAAATTATGAGCAAAATTTATTAAATGTGCATAGGTTTCCTTATAAATGTGCAAATCGTATCAAAAAGGCCTAATAAAAAGGCAAAGGCTTTCGCGGTTGGAGTTATCATATTACGAGTTCGATTTTCTATAGCTTTGACCGTAGTCTAGGATTGTTTTTTGTTCTTCATTGAGAACATCAATGGAGTCGTTAATGAAGGCGGATCTCGCTACATTCCTTGAAGATGTCAATCGTAGTTGTTGACGAAACGACTCCATCGGTGTTCTCGCCCAAGGGCAGTACTAGTTAGGGTTGGTTAATGTTGTTTGTGACCCGTTTACAGCCGAAATAATATTTGTGAATATCGCTATCGGTAACGTGTATGAAAACGGATCAGATTGATGAAATTTAATTTGTGATTCCTTTCATAGAAATGCTTGGAATCGGGTGCGTTCAATTAAGCGATTGTGAAAATAATTGTTCGTGACTGAAGGGCGAATTGCATCTGAAAATTAAGCAAAGTAGAAAGGATAACAATACCTCGAAAATCGAATATTGTTAGAGGCATCGCGGGAAATTATGAGTTGAGATCGTCTTGTGTTAACGTAAGCTAACTGAACGGCTATCTCCACCCTTTCAATTACTCGGAACGTCTAAATGCTCATTTGGCAGAGAGCTCGTAAAATAGGGGCAAAAGAACTTGTAATAAATTTGTTGAAAAGCTACTACTGGTTGAAAGCAACGCTGTATTCCAAGCCTAAAACTGCACTCATTTTGCTATCGTTTTATAAGGGCCAAATCTAAATCTACCTGCCAATACATCCAAAAGAACTCATTCAAATAAATTTTCCACTTCAATCAATCCGCTACGAAATCAGCTAACTAATCTCCATCTCGTTTTTATTCTTAATTTAAACGCCTTCGAGAAATCCAATAAAAGCAGCCTGAAAGACATGAACATTACACTAATTGCATTCGAAGAATATTTCGCATTAATTAATACTATCAGTGACAAACATTTACACTTCAAGAACCAATAAGCAAGCAACGATTCGGTATAAAAGTGACGATAATCTTCGACTTTCCGAGGATTTCTGTTCAAAAAGTAAAAATCGAACCATTGCAAGATAATTTTCAAGAACTATTCGCCTGTACTATGTAATAACCTTTCAAAAATGCTTAGTAAGGAGATAATTACCTACAGAGATACTTTTGTATAAGCGTTGTGAATTATCGTTTTCTATATTTAAAGTAGTACTTATTGGTTCAGTAAATAAAAGGTGAACATCTATAAGGGTTAAAAACATTTAATAAATCACGGTTGGGGCTCCAAGAACGATCTCAAATATCTCGTGGGCTATTTTACGGGCAGGATCGGTATAGGTACGGTACCTAAATGGGACAGAGAAAAGTAGGTTGCAACGTAATGGGTTCGAGAGACGACAGGAATAGGGAGATTGTGCCAAAGCTATATACATAAAGAAGAAAAAAAAATACAAACGCTGCATGACAGACTGTGTATGTATGTATATAGCAGAGGTCAACAATAAATCCAGTCATCTGCTACACCTGAAGCGGATATACTACATTGCATGCTTTATGAACATATTTATATGCATCACGGCCGCGTCAATATACGGGAAAATTTACCCCGAAACATTCGAATTCGTTACATATTAGAATAACACGACTTTCCATTTACACAAAAAAAAAAAATACCAGAGGCTCCAAAGGCAATTAGCAAAAATAATTTGTAATATTAGTATGTATCTGTAATTTGAATCGCAAATATTTTACTTTTCATGATTGAATTCGTAATTGTTTTTGCGTTCCTTGTTTACATATTTAAGCAGCATCGAGTCGGTTGAATTTTCTGAATGAAGATATCGCATTGTCATTAAGTGTACTGTTGTTACAACTCTGCGTCTATGTAATTTCGAATTTACCGGTTGGCTTGTAAACAAATGGCTTTAGTAATGCTCGCGTTTCTGCTGCCTATTTCTTATAGGCAACAGGCGTAAACGGCGAAGCGATGCTATCATGAAAACGTAAATGACTCGAATATTCTACACTGGGGTTAATCGTTTTACCCTTTTGCTAGAAATTCCTCGATGAACCGTGTTTCACTTCTTGCTAAACTTTCCTATTTTCCCATTCACCGGTTTCAATTCAAAACATACGCTACGCGAATAAAGCAGTTTGTAAACATCTACATATAGTTACCACGCAATTACCAACGAAATTTACGGAATACATAAACAACAAAACCTACACAGGATTTGACCAAACGCTTAATCTGTTACCCAATTGTCTCAACATGATTCTTAACTAAATACAATAAAATTTCTGTACGAACCAAGATGTAATCCAATAGCATACTGAAGTCATTTCTAATTTACTTGTAAAAGTTACTTCTTGAGATTTTAAGTCATAACATACATGACATACGTTGCAGATGATACAATACAGGCATTAAGGTTTTATTAGCGAAAATTTCGTGCTTTAAAGTTCTATAGCTTTCAGAATACATCTAGACGACAATTTGGTACATAGGTAGGTATACGCGGTCACACACAAATCGAGACAAAATAAAATCGTGTTATTCCTATATCGTATGGTTGGAATATAAATGTGAATAAAATATAATATTTATGTTGGTTATGTGGTATCCGAAAGGGAAAGGTCCACAGCAGAATTTGATAAAATTCAATTCACAACAAAACCTGCTTATAGGTTAGTCAGTCGGTGGATTCAGGAAAACTTTTTCGACTCCGAATGTTAACTTAAATTTTATCCACTGGGCGCATTAGGGTGTAGGATTTACAGGATATTATAAAGATCCCTATTTCGTAATATAAAGCTGGTCCTTTAAATTTATTAACACAATAACTACCCATAAATTCCTATTTAGATTAGTGGTATAAGAATTAAGATTCACACATCAATTACTAAAAAGTGAGTATCAAAACCGCGATTGGGATAGTTAGTTTTGATTAAATATCTTATCATAATTTTTATGCATTAAAAACGTAATGTGAAAATAATATTTTAGTAGAAATAGCGTCGGGATATCTAGAACGAATGACCTTTAGTAGAAATAGCGAATGACCTCATGCAGCGGTCATAAATGAGAGTTTTAAGGGCTCGGTTGAGCGTTAAACATTCTTCTTAATAGTAATAAAGACTTGCCACAATGTGCGCAGTTTTTGTGCAATTCCTGCGGGATTTTTCTAATGGAAAATGGAATAGACTTTGCCGATGTTGTGGCGGTAGTTTACACTTTTTGTTTTTCCACTGCAACTTCACCAATGGCCGACAAAGCGCGTTTTCAAACAGTTTGTACTTTTGTTAAAACATATGTACTAACGCCGCATACAATGAAAAATTTTCCCGAAAGATCTCGCGCTCTAATTATTGCACCCGTTTTCAAATACGTATTTTTATTTTGAAACTTTTACGAATAACGAAACTGAATTATTAACGCATTTTGTTTTGAAATTTTACCAGAAAAAATAGTTAATTGAACTTACCGAAAACGTATTGTCTTCGTGACTACATTTCAGGAATAAAAACCGCTGTAGACATTTAAAGTTGTCACCTAGTATGTATTTTGATAAGACTGATATTTTATACGTATTCCTATTCCAGATAAAATGGAATGGTACTGGAAATGAAGAGATACGCAAAGCTTAGTATGGTGGACGTGTTTCGCTGGAATATGAGGATATTAATAGTTCTGGAAATGCTTCGTCATGTTGCAGCATCAGGTAAGTGGATGTGGTACGATATATTTCCTTTTTCCTTTCGAAATTCTTTTTAAAATCATTCTACTGATAACCAAATCTTGCGAGAACGTCATCGTCTATGTTGCCCGTTTAGTCATAAATTTTCCGTTAAGAAACAAGCCAGTCGGTAGTTTGACACTACATTTATCAATTTTGTTCCGAGTCATTTAGACTAAGTTGTAGCCCTCGCCACCACACTTGAATCGTTTCGAATATTTGATGTAATAATAGCACAGCTACCCCTTAACATTACATATTTAGTATTTCTTACAGGAACTTTCGGATATTTTTTATAATTAGATGTCTCCAACGCTTATTTTTATGTAACAATTTGGTAAAAGTTTTACCCTGGTAAATTTACAAAGCGTTCCTGGTCTTATTTTAATACAGACCCACCACAAAAAAGTTTATTCAACAAAGTAAACAAAGTTTTACCAACCACCACACTAACCCTATAAATGTTGCATTGGGATGCCTGAGTCCGGAGCCGTTTCATTTTGTAAATTCAAAAGTTTTATGAAATAATTTATCTAACTACTAGTACAAGTGCAATTACTCCTTAAACATGAAGAATTCATTTGGCCCAAAAATTAAATTATGTTCTCTAATTTGGCTCTAAATTCCCTAGGTCCAAGTAATTTCACTAGGTCTGGAAACGCATGTCAAAAATCGAAAGTGTTAATGGATATCTCTCTCCCTCTTACTTGCTGCTTGCAGAGAAAGAAAGGGAGGGAGTTAGACTCGATTAGTCCGCCATCTGGTGTATGTATCTAATAGGAGTTTTGAAAATAACCAACAAATTTGAGAACTATTAGCGTTAGATAAAAATTTAAGAAAACACCACTGAATGAGGAAATGTGAATGAAGGAAAGTTTTGTCGGTTTGAGCAAATTGTGGCCAGGAGTATTATTTCTGGTGTTTGCTACTGGTGGTGGTAGTACACAAGTTTATCTATTTACTGGTTAACAGACGAAATTTATTACCCGTTGCGAGCATAAATCGATTGGTCGTATCTTGTGACTAGCATTGCTCACGGTCAACAGTTTCATTGAAGACTACCAGTCCAAGTTGTGTTACACCCTTGTGTAGCAAATGTTACATCACAGCATAGCATAGCATAGCATAGCATAGCGATACAGTAGACGGAGCTGTCTGTAGCAGGTCCTCTCTCGTTGGTGTAATTCATCATATAAGTGTTAAAACTAGATGTAACGCGTTAGTCAAGAAGGCCGACTTTACATTGTTATCGTATAGTATAACAGTTAACAGTAATTAACCGCCGGGAAACAGGGTTTTTACATACCCCGCCTTCTGGTTTGAGAAAGTGATGACAAGATCGTTTTTATTAGTCCCAACTTCGCTTTATTGTTTAATTACAGAACTGTTGAGCATCAAACAATTTAAGAAGGTTTAATTAAACCGGTTTAAGTTTTCTCAGGCCGTGTGATAAATGAATGAAAACGGGCCGAACCTATTTTAACTCTCTGCAAAACATAAACTGCTTAGCACAATAATCTACGCTGCTCTAACGACATTTAATAAACTAACTTTTCTTTATTGTCCGATTTAGGGCATTATTATTCTTAATTACCCCGCTATATAAACTTTGCAATTACTAAACGGGGAATCCAGTGGCGTCTCATAAGTTATGTCACACATGCGAATATTTTCAACAAACTGTATCAAGTTATAACTGGTGAATTATCGTCATTTTTAGATAACTCACAGTAATTGTAGTATTTCACGTTTGTCCTTTGCCGAAAACTATAAAATACCTACTACAGTTAGCTGATAATATCTGATAAAGTGCTAACCTTTCTTATCATTCTTTTAGGTACAACTGCTTTTTACTGTTTTTGTTTTAATTAACAGAAATTCGCATGTAACGATGCCCCGTAATTGGTTTGATAATCCAATAAAAAGGAATGAGACAACATTTTGCAATTAATTTTACCCAGGATTTAGTATTAGCTTTGTTCTATCGTAACGATTGCTGTTACAAAGCAATACGTAATATCGATGCTTCGCTATGCTTTGATTATTCCACCTTTGTGAGTGAATTAGAGACAATGCTGGCAAGTTTTTTTCATTTACTGCAATAATGCGGGGTACATTTTCAACGGCGACCGCGGAAAATAATTTCCACCAACTATCCTGTTCAAAACTTTATATTAATTAAGCATTCTAATCGACCTACGTACCCATCTATAGGCAGGGAGATTATTTATTAGCAATATATCTATTGTAGAAAATTTTAATCTCACAAAATAGTTATGCTTCATTTACTTTCTCTAGCGATGTGCCCCTTCCAATGTCTTGGATGCGCGCTGGCAAAGTCGTAGGTAGGGAGAAAAAAGCTCATTATAATCTCGACTCTTGTTCATTAAACATACTTTTTCATACAGTACCTGCCAACAGTTTTGTTCAATCATAAATAATAGTGCGAGTCGAAAACAAGCGTTAAAGCCTTTAATATGTCTTCAAATATAAATAAACATCTCGTTGATATTTTCAGTAGTAAATGGTACCAATAACAGCACATTTGAGTAATGCAATTGTAGTGGATAAAATGGTCAATTTTTCCATGCAGTACTGTACGGATTATACGCTCCTCACCGGTTAAAAGTTTGGCCGAGAGTTGTCTTTTTCCTTTTTTGGCCTAGTGCTGTTCTTTTCTACTTTCCGCCGGTCAAACTGAAGGTCACATCGCTACAGAAACTAAACGAAGTATAGTTTGAGTTCTCACTTGAATACAAAATGTTTTTGAATTTTAGACTAGCTCTAAGGTAACCAATAAAAGAAAAAATTAGTTGATTTGATTCCGAAAGTATTGTAGTCTTTCTATATTGTGTCACAGACATTTTCAAAAATTAAGATACACATTTACAGCATAGCGTAAAACAAAGCTTTAATATTCGAAATTAATTAAAATATCCTTTTTTAATTTCAGTTTTGTTTTTAACGTTCTGGACGTTACATTTATGGTAGATAAAAAAGTTTTATAAGCTGCTTCTACTCGGAAAACTTCCTCCATTCTCAAACACGAGTTCGAATATTCTCCATTATATCAGATAGATCGAACGACATAAAAATTTATAGCAAATCAAACGAAGATGAAAGTAGAACATGACTAACTCTACGGTGAACATCTCAGAATATGGAAGCGCAATGTCAAAATTTACGTTTTAGAATAGATGAACGAAATTTTATATTTCTTTGAAAAAAAAATTAAAAACAAATTAAACCAAATCGAGAATGAATTAATACGTATATACGTATATTTATACAATGAAACGATAGAGTTAAATTTGAATTTTAAATGAGCAGAATATTCTAAAAGAAAATTTTGGGCCAGAATTTTAATTACAAAAATTTGTTTCACTAAAAGTGATAAGCCCAACAACTGTTATACAACTATACCTATACATAATAGATACAATAAGGACATGTGAATGTGTTTCTGGCGATATCTTTAACAATGAGCGTTGGTCTAAGATCGGTACATTCCAGGTAATTTATCAAGTTGTAAGATTAGATGAAAGCAGTGGTGCTATTAAAGTTTATGATGGATTAGTGCCAGCAGTTATGCCCTTAACTAGGGCAGAAGCAATTTTATTTCCCATTTTCGGAAGCTGTCTATTTCTATCGGCCATTAGTTGATACAACTCGTTGAGAAATACTTAGGATGTGTTGTTTTTGTGCAAAATTAATTGGCAAAGTGCTTGGTTATTAAATGACAAAAAAAAACAGCATCTACGTTACAAAACTAATCTGTTTACTTAATCTAAGATAACGAAATTATTTTGGTTTCAAGTTTGGTACAGGCGCATAAAACTATGTACCTACATCAATTTCCCTGCGTAGAATATAATAATCGGTTTATGGAGTACTTACTCTTAGTAACCCAATTCTGGACCCAAACCTGAAGCCCTCATAAAATACAGGAATAATCAGCGGTCTTAAACGGCAATAGCATAAGCCCCATTCTAATCGCAAGGGATCTTATATTGATGACCAACATCTAACAGCTTTGAACTACTATATTAGATACATCTACAAGGTCTTTCTTGTCCCATTTGTTTGTTCGAAGCATTCTTCTATTTCTAATAAAGTATAGGGTTGTTCGGAAAGTCATTTCGTTTTTTTTTTGTGGAAATGAAAGACAGTTTTCGTATAATAAACAAATACTTTATTAAATTATATATTGACCGTTCTGGTCCAACACCTTTTGCCATCTTTCTGGTAGTAGCATAATTCCACGCTCATAAAATTTTTGGTCTTTGCTGGCAAAAAACTGATCGAGGAGGTTTTTGACCTCCTCATTTGAGGTGAAGGTTTTACCGTCTAAAAAATTTTGGAGTGACCGGAACAAATAATAATCCGATGGTGCCAGGTCTGGAGAATATGGTGGGTGTAGCATTGTATCCCATTCAAGCTGTAAAAGCTTTTGGCGAGTGACCAAACTTGTGTGAGGTCTCGCGTTGTCTTGGTGAAACACTACACCTTTCCTGTTGATTAGTTCTGACCTTTTCTGTTGAAGTGCATCATTCAGTTTGTCCAGCTGATGACAGTAGACTTCCGAATTAATCGTTGTGTTATCCGGTAAAAGCTCAAAAAAAACGATTCCTTTAAAATCCCACCAAACAGACAGCATCACCTTTTTTTGGTGAATATCGGCTTTGGAAATGGTTTGAGCCGGTTCATCTTTTTTGCTCCATGACCTCTTGCGTTTGACGTTGTTGTTTACAACCCATTTTTCGTCCCCAGTGATGATGCGCTTCAAAAACGGATCATTTTCTTGACGTTTGAGAAGCGATTCGCAGACGTCAATGCGGCGACACAGATTTCTCTTTGTGAGAACATGGGGAACCCATACATCGAGCTTCGAGGATAATCCCAGGCCTTTCAGGTGGTGATAAACTGTTGAATTTGATAAATTTAACCTCAATCCGATCTCACGTGTTGTTATTCGCCGGTTCACATCAACTAATGCCTTTATCGCGTCTTTATCAGCTTCAACCGGCCTTCCCGAACGTGGTGCATCTTCGACATCAAAATTGCCGGATCGAAATTTAGCGAACCAGTTCTGGCACTGGCGTACTGTCAACACACCTTCTCCATACACATCAGTCAATTTCTTTCTGGCTTGAACAGCATTTTTACCCTTTCTGTAGTAAAACAGTAAGATATGTCGAAAATGCTGCTTATCGCTCTCCATATTTAAAAGGGCACCAACCAAAAACTACTGCGTAGAATTAATTGGAATTTTTCACACACAAGCCTTGCTATATGAGCTCTCAAAGCATATAAAAAATATACGGCTTAAATGTGAAGTTGGGTGCAAAAGAATACAATTAAATCCTCTGTCGGGAAAAAACGAAATGACTTTCCGAACAACCCTATAGTATATCAGAAAGTAAAAATTAATTTTAAATTGGCGCCCCTCATCTTTGCATTCGCAGTCGTTGTTTTATTGTGAAGCGATTATTTAAATTACTGGACTGTAATAAATATTGTTGTTAGGGTGTAAATGTAGAGATGTTGTTTTCCAGTTAAGCATTATTTATCCCTGTTATCTCATTTTTATTTCAGAGAACGAAACGGTTCCAGTATTTTTATCGGACGAATCTAGAACACAGTTTGGCAACATGAGCCAAAAACTAACGACAGTGAATGCAACGACAGAAGCGGGGACAACAACAGCCCCCAGTAACGTTCCGTTACGAGAACAAATTTCGACCACAGTGGCGACAGTTACGCGGCACCTTTTGTTAACTTCGACCAGCAGTAAAGGTTTGGTGCGGCATAGTTTTGCGCGAGGTATGCCACCGTTACATGTCCCTTATCTACCCCATAACCCGCACTCACGTTGGGGACCGTTCTTCGAAGAAGGACAGGAAACCGTCAACGTTACGGCCAGAGTGGGATCCACGATTATTTTGGATTGCCGCATCGGTTTGCTCCAGGATAAAACGGTAAGATATAACGCATTTATCACTCCATTCGCTTTTACTTAACCACCATATTTCGCATTTGCTAACGCCCTTTACTACCCTCTAACATTTTACTTATCTTTATGCACTTGCTCGCATAATTATAGTCAATAAAATACTATTTTTTACCGCTATTTTCTAAGCCAATAAACAACTTTTTTACTTTATGATATAACGACTGCTTTACCAATAAAATATCGTCATAACTTTGCAAAACTTTCTGGCGTAAAAAAAAAAATAAGCGGTATCGATATTTATACGTAACATCTACAATCACTCACCGAAAGGCGAATACGTAACTTCCGGGAAACTGCCCCCATCGAGGATCCAATACTCTAAAACAAGAAAAGATATTTATATACACACTATTTTTGGTATGATATATCTTTCTTCATGGTAAAAGTACAAGGGCGTAGAAGGGCTAAACATGCGTTTTTGTAACTCGAAATTTAGACTGAAAATTGTATCGTAATCAACTGGGTTACCCACCAATCTTGTGTCGATTGTGTCTACTTAGGAGTTTAGAAAAAGAAATTACGTTTAGCCTTTCTATGCCTTTGTATAAGAGTAATTCCATCAGGGAAAACGTAATAGCAAGAGTATCTCTAATAGCAATAAGTAAAGGTGAAGTTGTTTGCCAATATAAATTTTGGTTAGTTCATATTTCGCTGAGAGTGGGGTGGCAGCTTTGTTTCTACTTCGACGATACTGATGTAATCAATCTAAACTTCAACGTTGATCAACGTAAACACCGAATTGTTTGGTACACAAAAATAATTTTGTTACAAGTCAGTGGAATGGGGACTAATTCAATTTCGAGCAGGATGCCTTTTGGCTTATTCTTGATACAAAGTAAAGAGGAAGAAGCTGAAGATTAGGTTAACTCTAGTGTTTACTGTGAAAGAAAGGAATGAGATCATTTATACTGATTAATTATCTGAATTATTTATAAAGTGGGTGTAATTTATATAATTATCGTTATATTTAAAATCTGCTTCCGTAGAAGAACGGTTTGATTAGTTATTTGTAACAAAATAAATCATATCGATAAAGTTTTAGTAGGTTTTAATTTATTTAATTAGGTACCTATATTAATACTGCACATCCCTGTGTAAAATCCACCGGGGAAACCGAACTTAATAAATCAATCAGTTACAGATACAAAGTCATTTTATCCAATCAACTGTAAATGTCATTCTATGTTACATGGATTAATAAATTGTATGCTAAATAAAGAAAACCATAATAAAGACTTAAACAGGATTTTATGTCTGTAAATTAAAACCATTGGTTTGATCTATCCAATAAACACGTCGTAAAAAGCTAATAACTTCTGTTCTCATATTTATACGAGCCAAATTTTATAAAAGATTAGCAGAAATGAAAAGTCAAATATCACAGTTTCTTTCAGTACTAATTATTACAAATTTTATAAAAAAACTAGTTAAACATCGAAATCAGGAGTCTATTAATGTATTACAATGTTAAGAATGCTATAAAGTCTACATAGGACAAACTGTGAGATACTTTAAACAACGAATAAACGAACATCAAAGAATAAGAGTAATAAGAACAATAACGAAAATTTTTTAACCGAAAAATACCAATTCAACGTACAATAGATATCAATTACTATCTCCTATTGAATTTTAACTGTAATTATTGAAGCCTAGTATTTTTTTCTTGGTATTTGATTGATTGGGCTTTTTGTCTCAAAATATAATGAACATATCCAGAGATGCGGTTGGAGATAGAGTTCCGTTTTTGCAATTTGGCTATGGATCCCTGTATATATATATATGTAATGAAACTCCCTAAAAGGTTCATCGAATATAATAATGGTCTTACTTAATGACAGAGCGATGTATAACTTGTTTAGAAGTTCAACTTTCGAGCTGAGTCTTCGTATTCTGCTTTTGTCAAACTTTCCCCGTTGAATTAAATATTCATAAGCCGTCTATCAATTATAAGTAAGTTAATTTACTTTAATACCGTTTCGTATTTAAACCACAAACAACGAACCATCAAGTGTCTTCTCTAACTTGTTCTTGGGCTGAATTATTGTGCTAGGAGATGTACGTGAGGTACCCACGACGTGCAGGAACCCCAGCATGTTAAACAGATCGAATAGAAGCTTAATACAGTGGTTACCAAGTTAAACAGAATGTTCTTCCAGTAATTACATATTTACATATATTTCAATTGCTAAATGGGGCTTAACTCCTTTACTGTGCATGAATAATGTACACCTTTCCATTCCTTATGGTCACTAAATTTTATGTCCGGGCATTAAAAAAAACATTCATTCACCTACACGAACAACTAATACCTACACATACAAATAATGAAAATGATAAATTTTTGATAATAATAGTACCTAATACGTTCATTTCTTGTGTTATCAGCAATTTTTGATATAAAAGTATCGACGTTGGAATCAAAATAATTTTTTACGCCACATTTTTAAGAATAAATGGGAATTAATTGTACAATTTCTACATTATTATCGATTTTCAATGTATATATTATCAAAAATACACAATTATTCACGACACATTCGATTTTATTGCTTATTTCAAGCGTTTGAACCCAATTATAACGTATTTTATTTTATTCTACAAATCCAGGGTTCAATAACCTTTGTGTTTACCTCAATTAAAAAGCACGTGCGTTTTGTAATACTATAGTAGTACTATAAAAGTAAACCATGAATGCAAACGTAAACTATTTCATTCATAAAGAGATTGGAAAATTCGCGGTCACTAATCTGGAGGCGGAGATAATCTTTGTTGTCATAACGTTAACCCTACTTTCCAGTTTTTGACAATTTTACCACTTTATATTGATTTTAGACGAAAATACTTTATTAGGGGGTTGTAAATGTATGCAGACTAAAAATTTAAATTGTTTCTTAGTATTTAAATGTAATAACAATGTTCAAATAATAGTTTAAATAACCAAAATAATGCAACAAAAATTCATTTACAACCGGAGTTCTTGGAATATTTTCGGCAAATTTACTCTTTTTTTCCGTTATACTCGATTAAATCAAATTCTAATCAGTTTGTTTTGTTACTATATTTACCAATTTAATTGTTTAACTCAAAATTATGCGATGTCAATTGTTTTAAAGCGATTAAATTACAAAAACAAGTGACACTTGTTATAAATAATACGGAATCTTATAATTTGGAATCGTCATTCTCTGTCCACCTGCTGAAAATTTTAGATCTATGTGGTTTTATACGTTCTTTTGTGTACATTTTTACTTAATGAGTCTACATTAGCGATTAATCTTAATAATTATTAATTATATTTGAACAATTAATTAATTTTATTACTACCGCTACTTGTTTTATTGCTTTTGATAACACTTTTTGTGTGAATTTCACAGTAATGATAAGATATTTCATTCAATTAGGGGGTGGTTGCTTATTGTTAACTTAGCGATGACCTTTTATTTATTATTATTTAAGTACCCATGATATTTTGATGTAACATGCGTACGTATGCATGTACTTGTGTATTGGATGTTTAATTGCTGATGTTATAATTATATTTATGCCATATTCTTTCAAAAGTTTTGCTAAACCAAAAATGAAGTTCGTTAGTCGTTTTCCTTAAAATTGTTATTTTAACTTCCAAGGAAGTCTTGTAATAGACGTCCAAGGTTTTCGTTAAGTTATTAGTATACAGAATAACTTAAATAAGTAAAATATTGAACTAATTTACATTTATAAATGTTAAAAGATTCAGCCAGAATGAATTTACATAAATACAATATCTCGAAAGTTTACTTAATAAATATTTGAACTTTAATAAAAAGAAAAGTGTCACAATGTCGGTGTTTCTTTTTCCGCCCGTTTTGTGAATGATTTATTTTTAATCAATGAGTAAATTGTGCTCAAAATAATATGAATAATAATGAGGCTAACAAATTGCTTTTCCTGGATTCTATAGGTACGTTTTAGATCAGGAAATTTTCCTTGTTTACAAAGTCATTTATTAGAATTGATGGCATCTTCAAACGCAGTGAAACTGGCTAAGAATCAGCTGTAGCTTGCTACAAAAGTTCTTAATTTAATTGTGAAAATTTTACCACCTTCCCCTTATAAAACATTCTTTTCCGTTTTCAGGTCATTCAACGCAAAAACAAATTTTTGTATCTTTTCTCCCTTACAGCGACTCCAATTAAACAATTAAAAACTTCATAACTAGCTTCTTATGATAAACAACAAAATGTTAACAATCTTCACGATACAGTATATAACTTGGTAGATCAATAAACAAAATCAATAATCAAAAAATAAAATAATTCGAAGTGGTCGAAGTGGAGCATACGTAATCCTAAAATGTGGCATCGTGCTACAGATGGCGTTTACTGCGCCATTTGTACTATTTTCTAAATCAAAAAATTCCTATTGATAAAAATAAAATGGGATCAATTTTATTGACTGTCCTGGCAGGATAATAAATGTTAAATAATGATGGGCGAAAATGCAGTAATGTTAAGGTAGCAAAAAAGAAAAATGTACCTGACGATTTGTGGTCAGATTGAGCAGGGAAAATTAAAATGAGATTGCATCCACACGCCTTTGGTCCTTTTTTTTTTGTTATATTGTCCGCATAGTTAAGGAGCACATACGGCTTTCATAATTTATAAGTTCGCGACATGGTCTACTGAGCGTGGAAGTTGAAATGAGAAAATTCGTCGACTCAAACCCCTATTATACTTTATAAAGCGAAGTTTGCGCGTTGAAAGGGGACTATGGGGTTGCACGTTGCGTTTTCACCAGTGGATTTAATCAATATTGTTCAACCAGCTAATCTCTCAATTCACTCTTTCCTTCACAAACAAAAATATACCTGTTATTTCATCTGAATGAATTCCATCGTTGATAATGCACGTAAAACAAACGGAAAACGTTGTTGTTACGAGTAGGTACAATTTCAGCGTTTTTTGTTATTCACTTTTTATTTCAGCTTAAATTACAAATTAACGAAATAATCTTCCTTTTTCTTCTTTTGATGTTCTACCTAAGATATTTATTTGCCTTTGCTAGCATCAGTAATTGTTGGTTTTGAATTACGTAAACAGCGGCAGCTAGGCAAGTGACTTACCGATGTTTACATTCAATTAATTTTAAATGACATTATTTTCTGTAAAAATAATTGCCTACACTGTTTTATTCTCTTTGCTCACAAAATTGATTTCGAAGTCATTATGCTTGAATAACAAAAGGGCCTTTTCTTTTCCATTTTCCTGTATTAAATTTTAAAACGACTTCTGCGTGCTCATGTAATAACACATTTATACGTAGACAAAATTAAAATTCTGGCCATAAAAACCCTAAACATGTTCTGAACGAGTCGTCTATACACATAAGTAATATTTAAATTAGTTAGTTAACACCTCGACGTCGCATATTTAAGGACACATTAATATCTCGTAGATCGACACATAAATATGCACTTACCATTTATTCCCAGTTCAAAAGCTAGCCAAGTAATTTGCGAAATTAGTAATGTCACTTAAAACAATCACCTAATCTTTAAATTATACCGGCTAATACATCGATTAAACAATAACAAACGTTCTGCACCAACAACACACGCTTGTCTACTATAATTTGCGTAACGTTACTGAAATAACCCGACAAAAAGTGAAAGTAACGAGCTTTTTCTCCCTACTCTTACTTAAATTCAACACACCTATAAATAAACACGATGGCGAAGGTTGCCGATTGACTTATCGCTAGTTTATATCTTGCAAAAACAGATAACGAAATAATAACTCGGTCAAAATAAAAGCTTTTACCATTTAATAATAGGTACATATGTACTATATATTCATTCGTTTACACAATAAATAATAACGTTTGATGTTTTTTTTTAAATAGGTTTTAATTTCAGTAAGTAGGATGTTGTAGGTAGTGATGCGTATTGTTTATTTCCTGTTATAATTACACGTGCAATTAAATACGTATTGCACAATATTAATGACGATGAAACACTTAAACTAGACAGTAGACTGAGCACAGTTCTTTCAAACTGTATTATCGTACCTAGTAATTTTTAAAAATGAAAAAGTGCACTGTTCGGCTTTGTGAAGCGGAAGTAAGCATATGCTATGAATTATGGAGCATCCTGTGTGTAAAGCAAAAAGATAATGGATCGCATTTCCTTTTTATTCACTTTAAGCGAAAAACAAGCCTTCAGGAATTTGAATCTTATCGTTAAACGGATTGAGCGCAAAAATTTTATTTACTAAAGGTTGTCGCACACCCGTCCGTCGCGTCCTATCAAAATACGGATGGGACGAAGACATTGTAAAAGAATAGACAAGAGTAGGTCTTTCTCAACAACACTTACCCACAAAGAAATAGTATTATTTCTATGTACTCAGCCGATGTAATTTTACAATTTGCTATTAAAACTTTCGTAATATAGTCAATACCTCCCAGTTCCAGTATAGTCGGTTCACATATTCATGCGAGTCGTTCTGTTTATTGATATTTATTTCATGACTTAAAATGCTTGTTGTAGCATAATCTCGAAAAATTCGCCGTTTGATGCGCGTTCTTTATTACATCTGGAAAAGTAAGGATTCTTAAATAATAAAATAAAAATAGAAATTGTAATACATCCTTCGTTTCATAAGCGAAATCTTCTGTCAAGTTAACAAATGTAGACTTCTACCGAGTATTTTCCATATAAATGAAACTAATACCAAAACTTATGCAACTTGAGAATAATAGGACACGGGTTTACATTACGATATTAAACAGCAGCAGGAGCAGGCTACCTTTCGTATCATGTGCGAGTAGAATACATATACTCGTTTCCAATATAACGTTATTACCCCTACCCGAGTCCAGTGGCAGCTCGTAGCTAATATTAGTGGGGGGGGGGTGCTGCTCCAGAAGAAAGTTTTTAGTCCTTGTTTTAAAATTGTGTAAGAGGAAATAAGCATCAAAGTAAATTTCGTCCACGAGCTTGAAATATTAGAATGTAATGGACCTTGCAAATTTATTACTAAGTGAACAAAGCTTTGGAAACTGCCACGATCTTAGCTCATTTTGACGTTTTTAAAAGCATTTTTCTTTCCAATAACGAACCGTGAAACGACTTAAAACATTTATTAATATCTTCAGCTGCTGCCAGCGAACGACATCGCTCGTTTTACACTGAAAATGAGAGAAACAAACAAAAACAAAAACCGCTCCACATACACGCTAATTGAAACTATCCACAGGAAAATTTACCTCTTTCGTAAATTACTAATCGCTTTTACAAACTACGCTCAATACTAAGGATACTAATCATTCACTTGATACGTATTGCACCACCTTTCGACTTAATTAAATAGGTATAAGCATAATAAATAAGTTTAAATCTAATAAAGTTCTGAAGAAGCCACAACGTGGTGAAACACATAAGAACATTGGTAATTTATAACTATAAGTATGCTAATAGTTGTTAGCATCTTTGGATCTTGAGATATTGTCAGAAATTTGCACGAAGTAAAAGGAATTGTACATTATATGGTAGTAAAGTTTGAATTAGTTATTTAACACGAACGATCGTTATTCGAGAATAAGAGAAAAGCTGATACTTGGGGTTGTCTATATATATATATATATATATATATGTACGTACCTAGACATTAAGCGTGTAGATGATAAATAGTAAATAACGATATATCTTTGAGAATAATGGATTCATTATCGGAAAACATAAGGATGATGTAAATGAGTAACATTACCTTGTTGTTTCTTCGCTTCGGTTCGCTCTCTGTCTGACATTTCCGCATCGGAAATTTCGATAAGACCGGAACTGTCTTTAAAAGCAGCTTAATTTTCTGGAGTCAGTCTTTAAATTCCCTAACGAAACTAATCATCCACAACGCTAGAACCACGTCTTCCACAAACTTACCATCTAAATGCTTCTGATTGTACATTATTGTTTTGGTTACTGCAAATTTTAACCAGAACTAAAATAACAAATCTAATCAATATCCTTTTGTTTTAAATGCTCATGACCGGAGGAGGCATTGAAACAAGTGTATTAGATGTACACGTGGAGGCCACTGGTATATCGAGATACAAAATCAATATAATTATAATCATTAAATGTCTAGTTGTAAAATAACAGTAACTAAACAATCTTTACTAGTAGAGATAATTTCGAATTTTGGTCTTGAATTGTGCTTTCTACATTCCTACATCTTAAAAACATCGGCCGTCGCTGTTTGCAGTCAATGTTTTCATAAAATACAAGGCTCATGGGATTTTGAACTAGCTATAACAATATTATGTTTAAAAAAATCGTGTTCGAAGCTTTTTTGGTTCTCTAACGTAAAAGTATCCCCTATTATTACGGATCAGAACCTCCAGATACATTAAACATGGAATGACTTTTTATCCCCGTGGGAAATGAGTAGAATGAGAAGTTTTCGAAAGTTGTTACGTCAATTTAATTACACCCACATTCATTGGCTGTTTTATTGGCTATCAATACTCCAGGTAAGTATTTTCTTTTTTCCTTTGTCTGTTTTCGTTTTGTGTGCGTGGGGTATTTCAGCCACTCGTCAAATCTAATTATGCTGTTGTATAATGTCCATAAAAGTCAGATACTAAGATCAGAAAGAAAAAGAAAAATCGAGATAACACGAAATGAAAAATCGAATCATTGTACTTGTGTTGATATGTAGATATAAACAGAGTTTACGGAGCATGAAAAACAAGAAAAACATCGGCTGAAAGCTATTCTCAGAACAACATATTAAAGATACCAGTTATATTGTCATAGTCATCGAAATTAAATATTAAATATTGACGGGTAACAGCTCGAAATATTTCTCTTCCTGCGTACAACCCCTAACGTTTTCCAGTTCATATCACACATTACGTTGTCGACAATTGTATATAATTATACACAATTATCCCAAATATATGTAAATTTAATTTATCTTGTTCAGCGTCTAAAAAATGTTTAGTCGTACCTACTTGTAATTTAAAAAACAAACATTAAATCGGTCTCTTTTGGAATTGTAGCAGATGTTCTTTAAGAAGCACTTTCCTTAATAAAATTAAAAAGGCATTTTCCGTTACTGCCCCTTTTATAAATCAATTAAGTACCTATCTAATATAGCGACTTGAATTAAATTACATTCTACTTTCGACTTAGCCCTTTCTTAATAACATCGTCACAATTACAACTGTTGGAATTAAATTTATCCAAATGAAAAGTTAAAAAATGTTGCTCTTAAATAAATCAAAACCACCCCTTCAAGCTAGGTACTACAGGGTTGGTTCTGGAACCAATCGAGTTCTTACCATTAAAAGGTCATCCCGATCCAATTATTTGTGACCTCTGGTAACTCTAAAAGATCATTCTTCAGCTGATAAACCTGAAGAAATTTCCACAAGTTTCACCTTGTAACTTTAATCATCTTCAGTCCCATTAGTTTGATCATAACTAACCCTCTATATACAATTGATTAGGGGTTGTTTATCTTCTTTTCAATTTTAATCAAGCAAAATAAATTTTATCAACTCACATTCTAATGAATAGGGATAGTGACCTCTGCAAAATTACATGATGTGACGATCAAGTTATCATTTTATTTTTGTATAGCAAGAGCTTTAAATTTACCTATGTATATACACGAAGTAGTTATTTAGCGACTGAATTGGAACACGCAAGATAATTATTTCGTTAATGACGAAACCGTAGGAATTCGTTAAATAGGAGATGCCGTTAATAAATTAGTCCTTCTACATGCGATAATCACCGAGAAATTAAGTAGTTTACATACATACGAAAACATTTATACATTTATGTATGTACATAACCATAATTACATTTAACCGACCAAAACCGCTCTTAGATATTTCATATCTATCCATCTAAATCCAACATTAATAGTACTCCAGCTTTCATATCGCATAGCATAGGTTGGCTAGTTACCTAAATGATGGCTCTTGAACAGTGTTATTGATTTCAAGTACGAACAGCAATTATTTTGTGAAAATGATCTGTAATTTTAGCAATTCTCCAAAACCCGCAAAACCGACAACACTTAATCTACCTACAGTCAGTTGTCGACCAGTAAATTTCACTCTATTTTAGCTATACTTCATTTACTTTCTCTAGCGATGTGCCCCTTCCAATGTCTTGGATGCGCGCTGGCAAAATCGTATGTAGGGAGAAAAAAGCTCATTATACTCTCGACTCTTGTTTATTAAACATACTTTTTCATATAGTACCTGCCAAAAGTTTTGTAATAGTAGTGCGAGTCTAAAACAATCGTTAAGGCCTTTAATATGTCTTCAAATAAAACTAAACATCTCGTTGATATTTTCAGTAGTAATTGGTACCAATAACAGCACATTTGAGCAATGCAATTGTAGTGGATAAAATGGTCAATTTTTCCGTGCAGTACTGTACGGATTATAATACGCTCCTCACCGGTTAAGAGTTGTCTCCTTCCTTTTCTGGCCTAGTGCTATTCTTTTCTACTTTGCGCCGGTTAAACTGAAGGTCACATCGCTACAGAAAGTAAATGTAGTATATTTTAGAACAAAATTCTACAAAAATTACGAATTTCAAGAACTCAAATCACAAATACTTTCGAAATGCCTATACAAATACCATCGTCTTTGAAGGTTCTTATTCCGTACGATTTTAGTTTATTTGTACTTTACCCATGAAGTATAAACTTTTAAAGAAGAAGTCGAAGAACTTGGATGCCCAGGAAAACATTTACGCCAAGTTGGAAGATTTAATAAAGAAAGGTGGCTGTTCAATTGAAAATGTTTGTCTTTCAAAGACAAATAGTACCTACTACATCCCCATCCTACATACACACGTTAGCATTCTCAGAAATTCCGACGGGATAAGAAAATTTCACAAGTACCTGTGAAAATTTCAGTGCGAGATTCCCAAAGACCAATCCTAAGATTTAATCCATCAATTATGCAATCAAACGCGAAGGCACCTACATATATTACAATAACAAATGCTTCAATGTGAAAATAATTTAAACGCTTGAAATCACATACATATATTACAATAATAACAAGTGCTTAAATCTGAAAATAATTTAAACGCTGAAAAGTATAATTAATGAGAACATCGTGCATTAGTTTTATCATTTCTAGTGGATATTGGCTGGTGTGTAAAGGTGAAATACAATTTTCAGTTTGAAAATAATCAAATTGTAAAGGCGCGCTAGCGGCAAATAAACCGAGGTAAACGATTGGGTGTGTGAAACTAACTTCAATTCTGAAAATACTCGATAAATCCTGTCTAGAAACTCGACATCATTCTGTTTGCTTGTTGATAAACAGCTCGATAGATTCGATACGGTTTCTATTTGATGTTTGGGTAGATTTTCCCTCTCAAAACTTTACGAACAACTTTCTATGTACTGTATAATGCAACGAAAATAAAATAAGTTTTCACCACAACTCCACTCGGCTTACACTTAAAACCAACTTTGTCCAAGCAGTTTTTCACTAACACGATTATATAGGAATTGTTACCATCTCATGATACAGAAACCCAGTTGCACACAATGAACAATAAGATAAAACCGATACGATCGGGCATCACGCTTCGATAAAAAGATTAAATAGAATATTAAAACAAATGATGCTATTGAATCGGTGATCAACTCAACGTTTCGAGAAACATCCAGGATTATCCATAGAATATGAAGAGGATTGTAACGTATGTAGGCATTGGAACCAGTCAAATGAAAACTAGAATTTAATAGAAGAGTTTAACAACGAGAATGTGCTAGTTCTTTGGAGTTACCCAGGGTGCACCGCGTGGAGGCGAACTAGCTTTGCACCCCAAAAGATAGAAATCCTTACGAAAAAATTGATTCGAATTTTTCTACGAATATTTTCGACAAATATTAATTATCTGTAAATTTTGGTTAAGATATTTTGTTAAAAAAATCTGACAAGCATCTAACATATGTATATGCATCTTGTAAGAGGTATCAGCTGAAGGATTTGATTGGAGAGATGTTGTCTTTCCGATTTGTTGCAATAGTCACGTGATGGAGATATGTTACAAATACTGTTGCGTCACACTAGAACGAACTGGGCTTAGATACGTACATAGGTACTCGATTTTCAAATGCGAGCAATCATGAGGAAAATGCCTATCAAAGCAAGTGGTAGATTTCCCAAAGGAATATACTCTACTGGAATTGCGTACAGGTGATTTATTTCTGAAACAATCGTCTACCACTTTCTGGATTATAGAGCGTAAGCTACTAATTAATACAATAAAAATTCCTGTTCCGAAAAATATCGTAAGAACAATAAGCTTTCTTACTGAAAAAATTGTATTTCGCTACATTGCAGATATGTCGGTGAATGAAATATTTCCATCCGGAAAATACACGGATGGATTTTCGAGTTTATTTAGTTTCATGTAAAAATATACGAATTGGTTGGACGATCTCCAAACAAAACGAAAACGAATCGAATTGTGACAAATCAGTGAATACTGAAACTAATTTGGATGTTCTGTGATACCTATCAAATTTGTATCTTTGTGTGATGTTGACTGAAACCGGTACAGTGCCAACGAATAACAGTGATTGAATTAACCCTAAACCTTTCGGAAACGATTGACCAACTTTCTACCATTTAACCCAGTAAAATTTTACTGCTAAACTTTAATAGATCCCTCAGGAATCGGCTAATGTCCTAAATCATCCTTTTCTACTTTATATCACACTACACAAAGCATTCCAGTTTACCAGCGAATAATCAATTATCAATACATTTGCTAAACCAAGAGAACTACATTTAAATACAACAATACAACTTCGTAAAACAAAAATTCTACTATGCAAAGAAATATAAACAACGTAGGAAGGAGTGAATATAGGAATAGGAGACGAAAACTAAGAAGAAGTGGCTGATTTTTGATATCTAGGAAGTTAGATAACTCAGGATGGAAGGAGCAGTAGAGATATAAAACAGTGAAGTGGTCTTCAACAAAAAGAAGTCTCTAGAACAGTTAACATAGAAATATTAATGTATAATTTCAATTTAATCCACTACAAACTACCTCAAGGAAAATGTAGTTGCTATTGTCATCTCTCGTAGCTTAGTGGTCAGAGTATTGTTGCGTAAAACCAAAGGTCCTAGGTTCGATTCCCGGCGGGGGTGTGACTATAGCAACAAAAATTTTCCTCATTAACTCGACGTAGTTTGTAGTGGATAGAGAATTAAATTAAATTTTCACATTAATATTTCGTATTAACCACTATTAAAAATTACAAATGCCAAAGTTAATTTAGAAATTCGAAAAAGATTGTTAAAGGTATATGTTTGGAACGTGGCTGTTAAATCCTCTAGATACCAAATTAAAAAATAGGACAAAATTTCGACAAGCCCAATAAAATCCTTAACAACTAAATTTCTCTTTGTACTGGCCGATAAATCATTGTTTGGGGTTTTTTCCATCAAAAATAGCGGAACTAATTCGGAGCCAAGCGAACGCTAACGAATTGGAGAACAAGAAAAAAAAAACTTAAAATCGGAGTACGGCTTTGAGACCGGAAATGGCAATTTTAAAAGTTAGAAAACTTTTTGATGCTTTCCACGTAGTTTACTTTAGTAATTAACATTGCTCGTCTAATTAGAATAACTTAATGACGGATAGATCGAAACTGGTGCAAAATTATCGTTGAACTCTAACTCCACCGTTCAAGAAAGCTTTTTAAACTAATGGACAATTTACTTACTTTAAAGCGATATTTAATGAAGAAAATACAACAAGAGTTTGAAAGAAAATCATCAACCACCCCGCTGAAATTGTTATCGGCAGTTTAGACTAGTTTTTAAAACAATAATAATTCTTTATTGTTTTACCTCATCACCCCTTCCCTTACGTATAGGGTTGTTCGGAAAGTCATTTCGTTTTTTTTTTGTGGAAATGAAAGACAGTTTTCGTATAATAAACAAATACTTTATTAAATTATATATTGACCGTCCTGGTACAACACCTTTTGCCATCTTTCTGGTAGTAGCATAATTCCACGCTCATAAAATTTTTGGTCTTTGCTGGCAAAAAAAAACTGATCGACGAGGTTTTTGACCTCCTCAATTGAGGTGAAGGTTTTACCGTCTAAAAAATTTTGGAGTGACCGGAACAAATAATAATCCGATGGTGCCAGGTCTGGAGAATATGGTGGGTGTAGCATTGTATCCCATTCAAGCTGTAAAAGCTTTTGGCGAGTGACCAAACTTGTGTGAGGTCTCGCGTTGTCTTGGTGAAACACTACACCTTTCCTGTTGATTAGTTCTGACCTTTTCTGTTGAAGTGCATCATTCAGTTTGTCCAGCTGATGACAGTAGACTTCCGAATTAATCGTTGTGTTATCCGGTAAAAGCTCAAAAAAAAACGATTCCTTTAAAATCCCACCAAACAGACAGCATCACCTTTTTTTGGTGAATATCGGCTTTGGAAATGGTTGGAGCCGGTTCATCTTTTTTGCTCCATGACCTCTTGCGTTTGACGTTGTTGTATACAACCCATTTTTCGATTTTTCGTTCCCAGTGATGATGCGCTTCAAAAACGGATCATTTTCGTGACGTTTGAGAAGCGAATCGCAGACGTCAATGCGGCGACACAGATTTCTCTCTGTGAGAACATGGGGAACCCATACATCGAGCTTCGAGGATAATCCCAGGCCTTTCCAGTGGTCATAAACTGTTGAATTTGATAAATTTAACCTCAATCCGATCTCACGTGTGATCTTCGACATCAAAATTGCCGGATCGAAATTTAGTGAACCAGTCCTGGCACTGGCGTACTGTCAACACATCTTCTCCATACACATCAGTCAATTTCTTTCTGGCTTGAACAGCATTTTTACCCTTTCTGTAGTAAAACAGTAAGATATGGCGAAAATGCTGCTTATCGCTCTCCATATTTAAAAGGGCACCAACCAAAAACTACTGCGTAGAATTAATTGGAATTTTTCACACACAAGCCTTGCTATATGAGCTCTCAAAGCATATAAAAATTATACGGCTTAAATGTGAAGTTGGGTGCAAAAGAATACAATTAAATCCTCTGTCGGGAAAAAACGAAATGACTTTCCGAACAACCCGATATTATCCCTTAAATTGTTTATCATTATTATAGCACTCTACTATCTACTCCTGTAGTTAATTTATTTTGTTTATTTATTTTTTTCTGGGGTGAAAAAGTCGCCCAGAATCAACCATAAATTACAGAAGTCCGGATAGGACTTCGCTTTGGCAACTGCTTCTCTTACACAACCGAAATAAATTTTATCTTTACGACAAAACTGTCAACAAATCTAACGTTTTCGATTTTGGTTGCAGGTAATGTGGTTGCATCACAAAAAAGACTCGATCCATCTTTTGACTGTAGGACGGGCTGCTTATAGCCGGGACGAGAGGATAAATCTTAGGTAATAATTCACATTTACTTCTACACCGTTTTTGGGAGTTGTGCGAGTCACATGTACACAAATGTAAATAAAAGTTTTCTATTTTCAGTTTCAGATACCCTAACAATTACCGGCTCGAAATAGTGTTTGTCAATCGGAGGGATGAAGGGTTGTACGAGTGTCAAGTGGCAACACACCCACCGAAAGTCAAGAGACTATATCTCAAAGTAACCGGTAAGTCTGTCTGTGTATTTTTTTATTATAAAGGTCATTTCACATCACCGCCTCCCCTCCCCGGAAATGAAAAAAATTACTCGAAAATTAATTGTTATTATTTATTTTGTAAGTGATATTAGCACATGAAATTTTAAGAAAAAAATAAGAAAATAAGAAGTGTACATTACATCACAGTGAATTTAGATAAAAAGTAGCGAAACCAATATTTTTTTTAACACCGCTGTCCCTTTTAACTGGAACCACCTTCGTCCCCGTCGGCTAAATCGTCAATGCCAGTTTGTATTGCCGCGTCCATCGTCGAAGTCTCGTAGTACTTGAAAAACTCGTCAATGTCGTTGTCGGATTCGTAATCGTCAAAGTTATCGTTTCTGTACAAGATGAGGTCGTTGTCGTCGGATATTTCACGGGCATTGGAGAAAATGTCTGGAGAATAGTTAATATAAATAAATAAAGTAGATATAAATTTTGTTATTTACCTTGGAGCGCGAAGTGATTGGTACAGGTTGCGGCTGGGTCTAATCGTAGAGAAGGCTGGAGTATTTCAACGTCCCATCCAAATCTTCCTAATCCTAAAAAATAAAATTAGTTGGTGCGACGATTAACGAGAAGTTAGCGCTTACCGCTGTGAAAAAGGGCCTTCATACGATCAAAAATTGTTCGTATGCGATAGTCGAACACTGGAATCTCGCTTGTGATTGTCTTACAATTAGCCTTTTTGTGTTTAGTTGGTGACGAGGACGAATCACTTTCTGAAGACATAGATGACGAATCAGGACTTGAAATTTCTAACGATTGAGAAAAAAGACGTTAAAACACTTATCACACACACAAACATTTACTTACCCATCACAGTTTCTAACTCTTTTTCCGGTGGAAAATGAACCCTCTTGCTCTTCTTTGAATCGGAAACACTTTCTTCATTCCTGCTTGCCGGTCCTAGCGCCAATAATCAATTAATATTATTACATAACTATATTACACTTACACTTACGTTTCAAGATTCCCTTTTTAGGGGTCGCAAGGCCAACAGGTTCCATGTTTTCAACTAAAAATTTACAATCATTAACCTTAATACATCGTCTTTACCCTATAACACTTTACTTACCTTCCTCGGCTAAGGCTTTGTGGTAGAAGATGTATGCCATTATTTCCAATCGATGGTTCGTTAGGGATTGGATTTCTCTCCTGCGATTGTACGAAGTGTCCAAGTCCCAGTCTTCATCAGAGCTGGACATTTGTTCTTCACTTGGAACTGGAATAAAAATAATTAAATCTAACATCACGTCGTATAAGACAAGTTCCAAAACTCACATTGTTGGCTAAAATCACTCACAGAAGGATTTATTCCCAATTCGGACAGGACGCCTCTAATGAATTCGTCTTCTTGCTCATCAGCTGCAAATAGTCCCCGACATATACATAACACTCACGTATTAAAGACTTAACTATTAACTATTTTATTAAAATATTTTTTTTTTAAAACATGTTCAAACACTTACAGCTGATGTTTTCCACTACACGTTCTTCGCTACTCATGGTGATACAAAAACCAGTAAAAACCTTTAAATTAATTTTAAAATTACTATCATTAACAATTTCGTTGCCAATTGCACCTAAAACTGCTTAAATTTGCACTAACACCAACACTCCGGGCACGGACATGAATGCACGAGCAATTCGTCGAATATTATAAAAATTTTTATTAAACATGTGTGGAACTAACTTAATAGTTTTGTTTTTTACTTGTTGCTATTTGGAATACCTAAATTTTATCGTTTTTGGCCCGAAAAATCGAAAAAACCATCACTTACAAAATATTTTGAGAAATAGACATTATCTAGTCACTACTCATGATGCAAAAGCAGTAAAAGCCTTTAAAGTAATTTTAAAACTACTATTATTAACAATTCCGTTGCTAATTGTAATTAAAACTGCTTAAAATTGCACTAACAAGGACACCCCGAACACGGACATGCATGCACATGCAGTTGGTCGAAAATTATGGAAATTTTGTTAAAAACGTGTAGAACTAGCCCCTATTAATTATGTTTTTCACTTCTTGCTATTTAAAATATCGATATTGTCTCATTTTTTGGCCCAAAAAAACCAAAGAAACCGTCACTTAAAAATAGTTTGAAAAACTGAAATTATGTAGTCGCTACTCATAAACCAAAAGCAGTAAAAGCCTTTAAAGTAATTTTAAAACTACTATTATTAACAATTCCGTTGCTAATTGTAATTAAAACTGCTTAAAATTGCACTCACATTGACACCCCGAGCACGGACATGCATGCACATGCAGTTGGTCGAAAATTATTGAAATTTTATTAAAAAGGTGTAGAACTAACCTTTAATAATTATGTTATCCACTTCTTGCTATTGAAAACGTCGAAATTCCCTCGTTTTTGGCCCGAAAAAACCGAAAACACCGTCACTTACAAAATATTTTGAAAAAGTGACATGTTTGTAAATAAGTCGTTGCTACGCAATGAGTCCATGCAGCTATCGCCTACTTATGCCCTTTTTTTGCTGAAAATTCGCGCAAACACGCGCACGTATGCGTCCTACAGCCTAAAAAATGAATCTATCTTCGAAAATTACCAAAAACGCAAAAAAATATAAAAATTCGTTATACCATTAAATACCGAAAATAAATATAAAGCCTCGCACTTAATAAAACCGTATTTTTAAGGAAGTTTGTATAAAAATTAAACCAAAATTAAGCCGGTAGGCAACATGGTGCCAAAACGAGGGTGTTATTAAAATTTTAAAAATTAATTTTAAGCCGGTAATATACAACTTTTAAACAAGTTTCAAACAAATAGCATTCAAATTAGAAAAAGCAAATATTTTTTATCGATTTAATGGAATATTGAAGAATATTAATTGCAGTAGGGGAAGTCAAAATTATTTTAAACATCTAAGGTGTAGTTAAATTATAAAAATTTGAACTAACTATTGATTTTAAAGTTAGTATAAGGGTTGATGGATTTTTGGAAAATATTTTTCTCTGAATTAACAAAAAATAAAAAGATCTTGTTTACAACTATACATGTGATTTTGAACACCAGTTAAGTGAAGTATTTTTCAAAAGTGTATGGAATCGTTAGATATATGGATAATTATCAAGATAATTATAAATTTTGTCTCAGGAAGCATTTTTATTTTTAGTTAGCAATTAATAAGGACATTATTAAAATATAATTGCAAGAAATAAATTTTAAATTTTAACTGGCTCCTAGGCTTTATCCTAATGTTTTGAATGTTAAACTACATAAAGAGACCTAATAAGATTTAAATAACTGTTTTTCAATATTTTTCGTAACTTTTGCATTGTTTTATCAGAATTAACAAGAGAATAAGTTAAAAATATCATTCGTTAATTCTGACTTTCTTAAAATCGTCATTATTCTTTTTGTACACCAGTTAGCAGTTTTAAAAAGAAACATTCAAGGAAACATGTTTTATTTGGAATTATAATTGTTTTTAATCCTATTTAACAACACTAGGAGCAAATATTATTATTTAATGATAGATAAGCTATAGTGTTACAATTTTCGAACGAAATAAAAAACTTTTAAACAACTTATAACTTATTTCAATATTCTTCGTAACTTTTAGATTTCTTCATCCGAATTTTCAGTTATTTGATCAATTGTGCGCTGCAGTTGTTCGCACGGGTTTACCATGTCATTTGGTTCTTCTGCAGGAGTACATTTCGCTTCTAAAATTTTGAAAGGAAATTAGTTGTAGAAATGTACGCTTATTCAACAAAATTTTACCCTTTTGAGCTTTTAAATATCTACGAAAAGCACTGCATTTACTTTTATATTCTTCGACACTCATAGCTTTTATTTCTGGATTCGCTCTGCTGTTTGGTATTTCTTAAAAATAAAATGTGTTAGCATAGCATTGCATAATATATTAAATGAAGAACCAATGTCATCATTGTTTATCACCTATAATTTTTTCCAAACCCTCTTTGGGAAAGTGGACAGATTTTTTCTTCATCGTCATCTCGCAGCAATCTTCCTTTAGACTGGATCTTGAACCTATCAGTTTTTGAAGAAATAACAAGGAAATTTATCGTTTAAACAGTTACTCACGTTTTAAAATGCCCCTGTATGGAGTTACAACTTCCATGGGCTTGAACACTGTACAAAATAGAAATTAAAAAATTATTTCTTATACAAAATACTACCTAGATTTTACCATCTTCTGAGAGAGCTTTACCAACACACATTGAAGCAGTAACGTAAACATTATTAGATGTTTCAGGATCTGTAGTTTGATCCTCATTTTCGTCTACATAATCATCGAACTCGGCAAAATGTATACTTGCTATAAGAAATATTTATTAACTTATTTTTTGATGAGATATTTAATTAATTATCTAGCTCATACGTCGGTGCCTGGAGATTTTTTTGGGAATCTGTTTGGTTGCTTTTGAATCTTCCATGTTTGGAAAAGTAGAAACTTAAAGAATAAAACGAAACATTAACAAGGGTGGTTAAATATTTTATTTTATTAGAATTAAATAGTTTAAGTTTATGTAATATACAAAACAGTATTGAGTACACTTACCTTTTAATATACTCGTTAACTGCAATTTAATTTAATTAGTTTTAGGTCAAATTAAACACAATTTAGTGTGTCAGAAATGCGATTTTAACAAAAGACGATCACAACAATAACAGTGGCCTTTGCGAAGCAAGATCAAACTTAATAAAATAAATAAATAATGGATGAGGCAAGTATAGCATTAAGAAAACATATTATCAGACATATTCTGTAAATTGAAAAAGCTTTTTTAAATTGTTCGTCTAAAATGAGACCCCTGCGTATCTCTATGTATATAGACATTAGGTACCCTTAAAGTGTAACAGAATCGTGAATTTAAACGTTGCATACGATGAGAGGTATTTCAATGGCAGCGATATTATGAAAGGCATTTTGTTGCAATTAATCTACACACGAAGCTGAATAGATCGGGCACAACAGGCCATGGTATCAAATAACAAAAATTCCGTGTTTTGGTTGTTTTCGTAATACTCATATAACCTTTGGTGAATTTTCACCGAAATTACATCAGGAATTTCAGGTAGAAATATTATGTCTTCTTTTAATTCAACCCTTATACCTTGTAAACTTATTTGTCTACCTGTCTCTCTGTATGTGACGGTTAAATACCTCATTAGCCACTAATTATTTTTTTTTTAAGACAGACACTACATTCATTTTTATTACAAAAGAAGGTTTAATTAAATTAAATCAAATCAACACCACTAGGTATTTTAGACAGATCTATAAGATATCAATTTTTGCAGATATTATTACAAAATAAATGATGATTAAAGACATTTGCACTTACCCGGTTTAATTTTATGCTATACCTGCCTAGAATTATTTCAGTGTCAGAAATAATTAAGAATAATAAAACAGCTTAACTAAACATTTTTTTATTGGAATACGAAATATAAAAAATAAGCAACGTTTAACATAAATGAACAAAGAACTTTACAACTACTACGATATTAATTATAAATGAGAACGAAATAACATCTAAAGAAACTTCTAATTATCAATTACTTATTTATTAACACATAAAGAAATACGAAGTAATTAAAAACAGAAAATAATAGTACATTTTCTTATTTTCGTTTGCGTTTCTTGAGGGTATAATCTTGTGGTTCGTTATTCAGATTGTTATTATTGGTATCATCCATGTTTTCTTCGGCTTCGTCCGGTGGTTGAGAATCGTCTAATTTCATTAAAAAGAATGCCTTAATTCTAACTTTTATTCGTCACATTGCAAGCGCCAATTAGATATTAATACAATCAAAAATATATTTAAAAGAAATAGTTAAAAAGCGTTTGGTTCAATACAGAACAACTTACCTTCTCCTGCTGCGGCTGAAGCTCCCGAATTACCAATATTTCCCTCTGAAACTAAATGAATGCTTATAAGTTTAACTTTTGCTTTTGAAAATGTCAAAGTTCGTACCGTCAATGATATCCAAAAGAGACCGTATATCGGAGTCTTTAGTATTAATGGCATAATTAACCAAGGATTCTTCGCTGGATGAACTAAAATAATCGAAGGCGTCTGAAAGAAATTCCAAATTAACATTCTTAGTTTGCGAGGTGATAATTATATGGCAAATAGTAAGGGATAAAAAGGAAGGAACGGACATTAAAGTGGGATATAAAGTAGGTAAATAATAGTAGGTATGGAATGAAGAAGGGAAGAAGACGGTGCAGGAAACTGAGAAGACATTTGGAAGCAAAGAAGGGCAGTACAAGGGGAAGGGCGAAAACCACAATTAAAAAGGAAAAAATGAATTAGCGACAGGTTTGAAAAGTAATGTAATTTTCTAAAACAGTTTGAAATAATACGTTACAAGCAATGATGTTTACTATTTAGACAACAACTTAGACAATAAATATAATTGGTTAGTAGTTAATATAGTAGCAAACCAAAAAAAAAAAGGGATGACAAGAGGGGTTTGATAAAGTGGGAGTTAAACTTTTAAATTTTTGAGATTAGTAAATGTAATAATAAAGTGGTATCAATGAAGGGTGTAATATGTAAAGAAAAATGGATATATAAAATGAAAAATGAAAATATGTTTGTAAACAACAATAAAGTATTTGTTACAAACCCCAGATGGTTTCCAGATTGCTTTCTGCAAAATGAACACGCTTCTTTAAAGGTGGTCCTGATATTTGAGATGAAATTCCTGTAGTTAAGAGAAGTGTTTATAAATAAGCTGTATTTATGAGAAGTTAGAGGCAAGCCTTACCTTTAAGAATACCGGATCTGAAAGGAGTTATCTGTTGCTGTTGCTGTTGAGGCTGTGGAGCTAATGAAAGTATAAAAAAATATTTTTTATCGCATAAATATTGAATGGTATACGTACAGGACGAAACAACTACTTCAGATTCAACTGCGCCTGCTCCATGTAAACCTAGTTCACTAAAACTTTTCGAAATCATGTCTTCGGCTATAGAGGTAACTGTATAACCGAATCCACTGGCTGAATAATATACAAATAAAGAAAGTGCTATAAATTTATGTATTAATAGTTATTATTATTTATTACCTCCTTCAGGACTTGGAGGCCCTGAAGAGTCTGTCTCTTTAAGTTCGACATTTTCTTCCTCTGCTTGTTCTAATAGGTAAAATTATTATTTGATAAAGAACAGCAACAACCTTGGAAAATTAAGGGCAGTAATATAAATATAAAAATTACATACCAACAGGTTCTCGCGGAGTTTCCTTGGGTTCCATATTTTCACAAGTTAATGTTTAAGTTATGTTTAAAGAAACGCCTAACAGAACTGTGACTGATTTCAAATTGAAAATGTTATTTGACAGATAGTAATAGGGTTGAATTTTCCCGGATTTACCCGATATTTAAAGTCGAAACAATATGTATAATTTAATATTATATTCAATGGAGAGTTACAATGTACAAATGCTCTTAACAATGTAACGGACATCATTATAAACAAATGAAAATCAATTAATTCTCTCTCTCTCTCTCACACACGCACACAGAAGGCAGTACGAGCGGATCTGTTTAGTATCAGTTGAACTTTTTATAATTAACTACACAAAATATTTAATTAATATTTATTAAACTTCAAAATAACACAACACGTACAAATAAACAACTCATTTAAACTTTACATTAAACTAAATATTCATTTCCTTTGAATAAGACAATATTATTAACCCTAACGTACGTTAACGTAAAAATCTACAGAATATGTTTATGTAGTATCAAAAATTTATTTAGTCCTTTTTATTTTTCTTAATGGGATTCAAATCTAAAGCATCTTCATCATCATTTTGGCGTTTAGCATTAGAATAGTTTGTTAAAGCTGAAAAACACTGTTTTAGTCATAATTTGGGAAGGGTGGGGGGTGGGGGGGTGCTATAAGAAGTTTACCAGCATTTTCTGAAGGTGGGACTTCTTCAGAAGATGTTAAATTTAATTTTCTAATTCCTTCAATTAGTTCCTCATCACTGCTAGATTCGTTTAAATAATTATCTTCAAGATAAATTCCTACAAGCATTTAAATAATGATATAATAAATATAAACTGCCTAATTAAACTCAAATTAAATAAAAACCTTCGTCTGTAAGATGGGCAGGATCATAAGTTTCTTTAGTTCGAGTCCAAACCAAGTACAATGAAAGATTAGATATGTCAGAATCTGTAGAAGTTGGTGATAAATTGATACTGGTTGGAGATCTTCGATAATAGAAGTCTAATATGTCCTCAGGAACATAGTCGGGTTCAAATATCGATGTGGCTTCAAAAGCCCCTTTAAAAATGAAAATCAAACTAACTAAACCTAAACTTGGAGGCTTTTGCTATAATAATAAGAGCTAATGGCTATACTTCGAATGAGAATCTTACGTTTCTGTTCTTCTGAAGGAATTATGTCCTCGAAAGAAATTGCATCGTCGTTTGTATTAAAGAAAGGGGTGTTATTGTCAAGGGAACGATAATATTGTCGAATTTCAGATTCTTCCTGATCGTTATTGACCAAATACGAATTTGCTAAAATATTTTGTAGACAATTTCGTCGTATCTATTATTATAGTAAATTAGTCAACTTACCCTTATTTGCATCTTCGAGATATTTTTCAAGTAACTTTTGAGAATCAGTTTTTCGAGAATCACCCCGATTTTCTTTTTCCATTTTTAAATTCCAAAAAACTCACTTTAAAACGTTTTTGTTGTTTAAAAAAATCAAACGATTACTACTGGCTTGACAAAAATCAGAAACGGCATTAAAACGCCCTCTAGAAATATTTTTTCATATTTTTTGTAATATTAATTTCTTGTTAACGTAAAATTCGTACGTTTAGTCATAATGCCACATGGTAAAACACCGTTAAAATTTGAAAGAGCAAACGACCGTTAAACTTCAGTTTCCCATTGATTTTCTCTTCCAAGAGTTGCAATTTTAGAGGTTTCTGTCAATCCTAGGAAAAAGAGCTAGTGGCAGGTTTTAGGATTCTTGGTACCTATGCATAACTTTGCATTTTTGTTGAAATCAATAAATAGCGGGGCAGATTCGGTAAGGGGAAGGTAGAATTCAATGTTATTCAGTACTGCATGCACAATTTTTATATTAATAATGCCTTATTTTATAAACATTAACTGTAGATTTGTGCTTAATGTAGCCGACTTTGAATTAATGTAAAATTAATTGTAAAATTTCTTTCCTAAACATTATTGAAGAATATTAANTTAAAGTAGTTTAAACAATAATTTTATTGTTTGTATATTATTTTTGATTTATTTGATTAGACTTACTTACCTCTTGCTTCGTTTCTAGTGGTTGTAACTTGTCTTAGTTATTAATTTAATAGGCAAATTAAATTAAAAACACAAATATACATTTAGAAACTTTATTAAGAAACACTATATACATATTAATGATATAGTTGAAATACATTAGTTTATAGAAATACAAATTTAATTACTCTTATTACTAATTAAATCAAACATGTATTTGAACTGAACATTGAATAAAAAGAAATATTAAAGGAACTCATTTAATGTAACATGTTATGTTGAGAACGTAGGCATGTGCCTACCCCATTGTTCTTTATTTCACTCCTTGCGTTTGGATTTCTTAGAAGAAGACGGCGGCTCCTTGTCCTTATCCTTGTCATCCTTCTGGCGTTTAACAGGACCATGATATTCCTTTTCTTCGTCCAACTTCTTACGTAAATCGAGGACTCCTTCGCTCCTTTGGGCTTCTGAAACTGTTTTCAATAGTTCTAGTGATTCTAAAAATCATCCGAAATATAAGTCAAACTTACCAAGAACACGATGAGTTGGATCAGCCATTATGTCCATGGTTAACATTGCATTTAAAAGAGCTTCATTGCTACTGCTATCAGAAGGATTATCGTAAGCAATGCCATCGTCTGAATGCTGAGAATAGTCATCTCTGGCCCGTGAAGAAAGATCAGAAGCACTCGAATTAGACGATCCACCGACAGACAAATCTGACTTAGATCGTCTATGGAGGAAAATTGTCTTCGGTTCTGATGTTTCCTCGGGGCCAGTTGTAGGAAAAGAAGTGGTTGCTGTACCTGAAGAGAACAAAAAACGTTTTTCCTTGTTGCTATATCGGAAAATATCTCGTTTTAATCAAGTACCTGTAGTTGTAAAAGGACCTCTTTGATGCTGCCTGGATGCCCCCTCTCCTGCGTCAGGATCATCTTGGTTAGGCTGGTTGGTTGACGTGGAAGTTCCTGCAATTATTATTAAGTCAGGATAATAAATTAATTATAATTTTTAAAGTACCTTGTTGGTTCATGCCGGCCTTTTTTTCTCGTAGAAATTCTTCCATTTTCTTCTCCATTATTTCCGCAATATTTCTTGCACTTCTCGGATGATTTATTAAATTAACTGTTGCTATATTGAATGAAAGACGAGCACACCCTAGTTGAACCGAACGTTGGCTCACGTACGAGCAAATGAACGAGAACTACACCAAAAGTCCGCCAAAATCGTTCGCAGGGAGAAAACTAACTGTCATACTAGACGCCCGACGTCTACTTCGATCAATAAACTAGTTAAAATAATAAAATTATTTTCTAATTATTATAAATAAAAATGACAATTTTAAGGCAGACGCGCGTTAAAAAATGCCGTTCATTGATATATAATAACCCATGGATATTTCGAATATACTTTTTATTATATTTATTTTTTAACAAATAGGCAGATACGTAAGGCAGTACTGCCAACCGAACATGCTTATGCTTTCGTGGCACCAACACTTATATAATTTAATTTTTTAACGGTAAAAATTTTAATTTGCTTTAATAAAATTTTTATTTCTTATTATCGTGCGTGAAGTAGGTATTTTAGATTTTCAACCTGCAAATTTTGAAAATAAAAATACAGTGGTATTTTTGGCGCCATTTTGATCATTAAACAAATAATTTATATATTTAATTGTATTTATATAAAAAAATGCAGGGGTAGGGTCCTGCTTTTGAAG